CATATTTTTTTCATCATCCTATAAACTACACCACGGTTTCCTAATGCAACAGCATTAGTTGGCTCGATTAATAATGATTTATCTGAATCTTCATGTGATTTTATATATTTTCCTATCACACAATAAGTTCTCCCACGATACCCTAAAGAATCAGCATTTTTTGGATCAATTTCTAATGCTTTATTTAAATCCACAAGTGATTTACCATACTTTTTCATATGATAGTAAGTCACTCCACGTTGTTGAAATGTGATTGCATTATTTGGTTCAATTTTTAATGAATTATTTAAATCGTTAAGGGACATTCTATATTGATTAATTTTACAATAAGCCATTCCACGATATCTTAATGCGAATGCATCATTCGGCTCAAATTTTAATGATTTATTTAAATCTGCAAGTGAATTTTCGTATATTTCTCTAGCTTTTGAGTATGTGCTTTTGTTGTTATAAGTGCGAAAACGATTGCGGCGACGATACCAAAATATTTCAAATGGATCATCTGAATGTTCATTAGAATCTTTAGTCATCATGACATATGTTGCCCCACGATTTTTTAATGCAAATGCGTCATTTGGTTCTATTTTAAGATATTTATTTAAGTCTGCAAGTGATTCGTTATACCTTTTCATTATTCTATAAACAGCACCACGATTTTTTAATGCAAATTCATCATCTGGATCTATTTGGAGAGATTTATCCAAGTCTGCAAGTGATTCATCATATTTCCCCAATATTCTATAAACCGCACCCCTATTCTTTAGAGCAAATGCATTATTTGGATCCACCTCTAAATACTTATTTAGGCTTGCGAGTGATTCGTCAAATCTTTTCAATACACAATAAACATCCTCACGCATTTGCAAAGCAAATACATAATTTGGATTAATTTTTAAAGCTTCATTTAAGTCTTTGATTGACTCTTCATATCTTTGAATCTTAAAATATGTTATTCCACGAAACTTTAATGCCCATACATTGTTTGGTTCAATTTCTAATGATTTGTTTAAATCTTCTAGAGATTCTTCATACATTCCCATCATATGATAGGTTTCTCCACGCTGTCTTAATGCGCATATATCTATTGGATCAATTTCTAAACATTTGTTCAAATATTTAAGTGATTCTACATAATTTTTCATATTAAAATATGTTGCACCACGTTGCTTTAACACCCATAAGTCATCTGGTTTTGTTTTTAATAAATTATCAAAAATATCAACTAATTCATTGTACCTATGCAATTCATAATCAGATCTTGTAATTCCTAAAAAATTTAGATTCCATATATTGTTATTCGTAATTCCTAAAAAATTAATTTTAAGCTTCGGATAAATTTTTAAAAGAATATCCTTCTTTTCTATTGAAGGACTTGAGTTATCACGCATGCATAAAATAAAATCAACAATGCGATTATTTTTATAAAAAATAGGTTCAAAAACCTCATTCAATCGATTTGTTTTTAGATTGAAATTTTCAGAATAATCAAAGTACAACTTAATTGAGTGTTCAAGACTTTTGAATGGAACATTTGCGAAAAGGGAAAGTGCACAATATGGATTTATTCTTTTATTCACATGAACTTCAAGTTTCTTTAATTGATTAAAGGCTTGATGAATTAGAACGAGCTGTTCTAATGTATAAACTGGAATCTTCAGATATTCGAGATTTATCGTACGTTGTGTAATAGCTTTAATAAGCTGAGTAATATCAAGATAATCAAGAGAATGCCATTCTAGCGAAATTCTTTTAAGTGTATTGCAACTCTTTTTAATGAGACCGGATAATAATTTAATAGGAGTTGTAGCATCATAAATTTTATGAGTACCATAAGAATACTCTAAAGATATTAAGTTTGAAAAAGTAGATATAATAGGAAGAAATAAAGGGGAGTTGAGTCCTTCGCAGTGTTTAAACTTGATTTTGGTGATGTTTGTGCATTGAGAAAGTACATCGACGGCATCGCTATTTAAATCACATATTGAATAATTAAAAAATTTTGTTTCACTTAAATCATGGTTGTTATGCATGTCTTCAAATGTAACACTGTTAAGTGAATGTTTTTGATCCACAAGAGCTTGAATAGGAAATGAAGCAAAGTTATTACTGTTTATCAGAAAGAACTTTTTTAAGTGCTTTTGAGAACTGATAAGATTTGCCAATACTTTTCCTTCATCTTCATGCCAAACGCTGACCTTAAGAGTTTTAATACTATGGCATTTCTGCGCTATTGCATTAAAAAGTTTGACTTTTTGCATCGGCCATTGATAAATACACTCAAGATAAGTTAAACTACTAAATATAAGATTACATTCAGAAAAATATGGAAGAACCAAAGGTGCTATTTGATCTTGACATTCAAGATGTTGATCAAACAGATAGTCGTAAGTATTAAATCTGCGTAATTTTGTATCATTAATTGCAAATATTTTAAGTAATTCAACTATAATGTCTTTACAACAATTGTTCGCTATAGCCAAATTAAGAAACCGATCGTATGAAAATTCTTTAAGAAACGATGGATAGTCAAAAGAAGGAGGTTTAGCAATCGATAACCCAATCCTTTTACTATATCCTAATTCGAAAAAAGTCTCATCTGGTATGAATACAAGATAGGTTTGGATCACTTTAGGTGATGGTGTAAAACTGTCATTAATTTTGAAGGGTGCTTCCCATAAAATTGGGACCGCACAAATAGCCCAGTATTTGTTAACCAAAAGGCAAGAGTGCAAATCTTTAAGTCTAAGAAATCTAAAAATCGTTACAAAATATTCCGGTGCAAACTTTTGATCCATTACTATTTTAAAAGAATTTAGAGGCATTTGAATTTAGAAGCATTTAGGCGTTGATGTCACAAAGGGCATTCGAGGAAAAATACAATTAGATCGCCAAAAGTTACGTTTTATAATAGTGATTGACATCATAACACATGATGTGTGACTCATCATAGAAAATTCCAAATTGGGATTCATTAAAGCTTTATATAGTTTTACATGAATGGAATTGTGAGCTGCTGCAGTAGCCAAGTGCATTGATCATTGATTCTTTATTGTAATAAAATAAATTCTAATGTATCAAAAACATTTAATTAGTAAATAATGTTTATAATTTGTACTTCTTTGTGTTGCTTGTTTCTCGTGTGACTTCATTTATTATAATTCTCTTTTTTTTATATATTAATGAAGATGTGCCTTAGCGTTTGTTCCACTCCATATGTAACCTTATTAAAATGAAGACTTTAATAATAATAAAATGCAACACCACAAAACCGGAACAAATGGGCTGCCGTCAATAGAAATCAAGCAAATCTACATTTGAAAAAAAATTAATACCTTAAATTTCATAGCACATA